CGGGGGTGAACGGGGAATCGCCGCTTCTCCGCGCTGACGCCTCTCTCGCCCGCTTCGGAAGGTGCTGCGGCACGAGGAGTTCGAGGAGGGCTGCAAGGCCAGCTGCAACGGGTGAGTGCCCCGCGCCGTCGATAGTCGCGACACACCCGCCGGCCGTGGCTCCGTTCGGGTCGGTGTAAATACTTCCCTTGGGATCAACGGTTCCTCGTTTCGCGGAGGTGCGGGGTTAGCGCCGAAACACAAGTATTGCTTGTTACACCTATAAACTGACGCGGTATTTTATAAAATTATTTCTAAACTTCTCTGGAGTTACATTCGCTTATGTCCAGTTTTTTCCAGCCACGGGGCTCTCTGGGGTTTTGAGTTAAAAATCCCTCCTGGTAGCCCCAAACACTTGTGTCTTTCTTCATGAAGGAACAAATCCTACAGTCCGGTGCCTAACTGCTTACTTTTCCTGCTTCACCGTAAGGAAACGCACGTGTAATTCCAAATAATGAGCATTTCACGCTCTTAAAAACGTGAGCTGTTAAGGAGGAGGTAGCATTGTTGTCTGTCGCGTGGTCGTGGATGGCAGCCTGGGGTCAAAACTGTTGACCAGGAGATGCCCATCTGCTGGGAGACTCCTTCACGGGTGTCAGCTCCTGCTTGGTGGGAGGTTACTGTGCCGATTGTTTACTCTAGAAATGCAATTCTTCCTTGAAGCACTTAATACTTGCAGTTCTTGATGTGTGTTTCTAATAATCACAACAATTAAATACGGATGTCCCAGCCCTTACGATGGAAAATGGAGCAAAACGATGGTGGGTTACGGGCCAGAAGACAATCACTTTGTTGCAGAATTGACTTACAATTACGGTATCGGAGAATATCGCCTGGGCAATGACTTTCTGGTAAGTGCTACGCTTAGCAGCAAAATCTTCTTATGATAAGCTTTTTTATTTTTACAATTAGGAATCTGTTCAGCATATAGTTTGTACAGTTGCGCTTTTAGGCTGTTTGGCCCTTAAATGCTTTTTATTCTTGCTTTTGTCGTTGTCTGCAAGCTGGAAGAGCAGAAACTAGAGCAGCTTTGCTCAATTCAGGAAATGCTTTCTTGAGTTTCACCTCTTAGCTGCTGTGTGTGTGGCACAGCTGGTATTTGCTGCTAGATCTGACATGGAGCAGTTAGCTGAGAAGGATCGTGCTGTAGGAAAACACTCTTTTATTTGTTATTATTTCTTTGTTATTTACTAACTGATAGCCAATGAAGATCTCGCGTTTCATCTATGAAGACGTGTTTAATTGTGTTTTCTTGTTGTTTCCCCTGAGCAAATATTCTTCCTCCAGTTTGTGGGGTGTTGGGGAACAGCTGCTTGGAGCCACAGCTGTCTGCCTAACCTGGCAGAACAGTTAGGAACTTGGTTTTCCACTTCCATGCAATGCATCAGATTGGAGTTTCAAATTCCTTTTGCTTTTTGATTCCCTTTGGCATGAAAGAAGGGTAGATTAATGCATTCCAGATACATGTGGGATGCACAGTAAGGTTAGGCAAGATACCTGGCTGTCTCTGTGTGTCCGTTCTGTTCTCCCTAGGGCATAACACTCGTGTCCAGCCAGGCCGTGAGCAATGCTAAGAACATGGGGTGGCCCCTCAAAGAAGTTAGAGCTGGTATTTTTGAAGCTGAAGCCCCAGGGGGATACAAGTTCTACTTGGAAGACAAGACACAGCTCAAGGAAGGTGGAACACGCACGCTCACTCTTATTGGTGTTCAGGAGAGGTTTATGAGTGGAATGTTAGAATGGGCTGTGTATTCATTGTGCTGGCGTTACATGAAACGGAGCGTGGTTGTTTTATTTGCCACTTCTCAAGAATGTAAAACTATGCGTTTAAAGCTACAATATATTTGTAATTAATTTCAAATTATTTCAATTTCATAGATCCTGTGCTAAAGGTAACCTTGGGTGTCTCCGATCTGCAGAAGTCTCTTAACTACTGGTCTGGTTTGCTCGGGATGAAAATATACGAGAAGGATGAGGAAAAACAAAGAGCTTTGCTGGGCTATGCAGATAACCAGGTTAGTCCTTGGAAAACTTTGCAATTCTGATCTTCAAGGGTTGCGTCACATCATAGAAACCTCTCATTTCGTGAGAACAAAATCTTATAGGGAAAAAAAGCTCTTCATTAAAGCAACCGTGCACTTAATTCTGAGCGTTTTAATTAAAGCTTGCGTACGCTTAACTGCATATTTTTTTTAAAAAAGCTGTGGTTTGCTCTGGTAATTCTGGCTTGTTGGGAAATATGCGTATGGGCAATTTTGAAATCATCCGCATCAGCGAAAAGCTGGAGTGAGTGTAGCACAGGGAACAGTGTCCTTGCAAATCAGCCTTTCTTTTTTCCTCTTTCAGTGTAAGCTAGAGTTGAAGGCTGTTGGAGGAGCGGTGGATCACGGGACAGCGTTTGGGCGGATTGCCTTCTCCTGCGCAAAGGAAGAGGTAACGATCACGTTTCTCTTACCCCTTTCGTTACCCAGAGCTGACTAGTGAGGATTAATTTCTAAAAAATATCTCGAATGCAAACAAAATAATACTGAGCAGATGCCTGGTTTATATTTCTCACAGTGGGAATGCAATGGAGTTGTGGGTAATGGGGAACTGGAGGTGAGGACAACCTGAATGCATCTGAGCTTTGTCTGACTAGAGTTGATTATTGTTTGTTTTCTGTTTAAGTTGCCAAACATTGAAGCACTGATGAAAAAGGAGAATCAGAAAATTTTAACACCCCTGGTTAGCTTGGACACACCTGGCAAAGCCACAGTGCAAGTGATTATTTTGGCTGATCCTGTGAGTAATATTGGAAATAGTGATTAAATTTGATGTAAATTTCTCTCTGGCATTTATCTAACGTACCTGTTCTTAAACTTGTTTTAGGATGGCCATGAAATCTGTTTTGTGGGAGATGAAGCGTTCAGAGATCTGTCCAAGGTGGACCCTAACGGTGACAGATTGTTAGATGATGTAAGTAGTGCTGTCAGCACATTCGTTTTCTTCCTGATTGTAGACCCTCGTAGAATCCGATTTTCGTTCCACGTGGAGTTTTTCCGAGAAGCAAGGTGAATGGTCTCTTAGCTCAGGCTGCTTTCTTGCTGAGGAAAACAAATGAGTTTTTAAAGTTCACTGAGTGTCCTGGCCAGGGTTTTCCAGCCTTGCTCGGGCAGCCGGGTGGTGGTGTGTTTTGCTGGACACTTCAACAATGCTTTGGTGTAAGTTACCACAGAAAATTATTTGTGAGTTGCAGTAACGTCAGCGCAGCTGGACATCCTCCCGAGGCAGAGCTCTGGGGGAGGGCTGTGTTTAAACTGTCCTGTTTTGCTCTCGTTTTACCAGATCAGCTGTTTGCTGCAGCAGAGAACGTTGATTTTCAGTGCCAGTTTTCTTTACTAGTATGTAAAAAAAAAAAATAATGTATCCATCAGAATAGCTTTCCTCCAGATTAGAAAGTGTCGTCGGGATCAGTCGGGGTTTGTGGGAGAGGTTGGTGAGTGTGAGCAGCTGGGTGTCTGGTGGCTCAGCTGCTCTTCTGAACACATTAATGCTTTTCTTTGTGCAGGCCATGGCGGAGGACAACAGTGACAAATGGTTTGCTGCGCAGAAAATGAAGAAGGCTTCTGCTTAGCTGGAGAAAAGGGCTGGACGGCTCGCTCGTGCCTTTGTTTTCATCTGAGCAAATGTAACGTGTTGCATTATCCCTCCCAGTAAGAGGGCACAGTAATGTCCCATGGTGGTTGGTTTGTTTTGTTTGAGTTTGTGTCTCGTACTGTGACTCTCCTTTCAAGCAAATAGCATGTTCTCCTTCAAAAAAAATCAGATTGTGCAGGTTGAGCAAGTGGCTTCAAAAACAGGGGCCAGCAGTTAAGAGGAAAACCTCGCATTTCTCTGTTGTTACAGTTGAAAAAAAGGTTGCTGTGTTCACGACAGTGTCTAATTCTCTGACTAATTGGCTTTAGCTGTCCTGGATTTGCAGCTTAGAGAAGAGATTTTCAGATAGATGTGGCTGGTACTCCACTTCCGTGGCAAAATGTCAGGCTGAAGGGAAGGGCTGTGCACAGAGGACTCGAGCAGTTCAGCTATCGTAGCGTGTGCTTCTTTATTCATGTGCTTTAGCAGGATAGTTTTTCTGTTCCCAAAATTCTGGTCTGGAACGAACCCTATTTTCATTCCAAGATGTTTCCCCAGCTTTCGAGGTGAAATATTCACTGGAGAAGCCCGTGGTGTGTTTCTCACTGGGGGCACATCGTCGATCTGGTGGTTTCCAGCCCCCTACCAAGCTCCTGCGTGCCCGTCTCCCGATGGAGCGCACGGAGCCTTTTACATTCCAGGCGGGAGCCAGCACCATGCTTCACGGCACACAGCAGCGCTGTGCTGTCTGCTGAGGTGCTGGGAGGCAGCTTGAAATAAGTATATTGAGGTTTTGCAGTTGCTTTTGCTGAGAGGTTGCCTTTGGAAGTAACAGTTCAGGGTTTATTCCATTGGAATGAAGTCACTCTGCTTTCGCTAGTGGGATAAAGGCTGGGAATACAGGGAGTGATTACCAGTGTTGTCTGGTCTGTAATCTTTTTTTGGTGAAAACCTTAAATAAATTTCGCAGAGAAAAGCAGGCAAAATCAGCAGCGTTGGCCATCACCGAGGCGCATCGGCGCTTGCCATGAATATCCCGAGATC